CCGAGGAGGGTGGGGAGGTGGATGCCGCTCCCGACGGCAATGGCGGTGCCGTTTTTGATCGGAGGGTATTTCGCGATCGACATGTGTGTGGGGACGGCGGTGGTGTACGCGTGGCAGAGGATGGATGCCACGCGGGCGGAGATGATGGTGCCCGCGGTGGCGTCGGGATTCATATGTGGGGAAGGGATGTGGGCGTTGCCGGCGTCTGTGCTGGCGCTGGTTAAAGTCCGGCCGCCGATTTGTATGAAGTTCTTGCCCGGCTGAGCTGAGGTGGAGCCGCGTGTGTGTTGACTGGTTGTGCTCATGTGGCTATAGGTGTTGATTGAGGTTTTGTTTTTAAATAATGTAGGGTAGTAGAGAGAGATTGGATTCACATGCTTGTTGTGATTTGGGCAGTGTTTGTTACTTGAGGTAAAATGGATTGTTTTGTGTGTCCTTTCTTTGAAGAGAGCAAATTGGAGGTTCTTGTAAAGCCTAAGATACACAATTAATATTTTATACAATTACTTTTTAGGAATTCCAAAGCAAGTCATTTGGAACTGGTATAAGTAGGAGAGTGTTTGTTGTAGACTGTGGAGACATCACAATTGGGAAGGTGATAAGCGATACTCCCTCTTATTTTTAATAAATATCGTTTTGATTAAATATCGTTTTGAAAAGTTGCATAGTAATTAAGAATATTTTTTTGTCAATAATAACCCTCATTAATGAGGATAGAGATGGATGTTTTGAGAAAAGATGGAGAGTGAATATGAAAAGACGTAGTGTATTTATTAGTTAGATGAGAGTAATAATGGAAAAATATGTACAAAATAGCCAAAATGATATTTATTTAACAAATGATCAGTTAATCTAGAATGACAAATAATAAAAATAGAAAGAAGTATTATAATTATTATTAGTACTAGGACTAGGAAAATGGAGCTTGATAGTGATTTGGACAGGGATAAATTTTATGGTAAGAGGGTGGTTTTGTTTGAACTTTGAAGTGTAAAAAAAGGTTTAATTGAGACTTGAGAATTTATAAAAAAGAACTTTAAACCACGAAGGCTAGGAAGTGTAACGGGCCTTCTCGATCATGAGGATAAAAGTGGCCCGGCCCGCACACTCGTTGGATTTTTATTTCTCCACTCGGATTTTTTAGATGGGATAAAATTTTTGAATCATCAGAATAAGTCGTGGGTCAACTGAATTAAGTGACGCTGAACACTTACAATTGTGATACATAAATTTGTTGAGTCACTTGAACATAACAGTTGTGAGAAGAAACGTGTGAGGTTGAGACTTAGAAGAGCATCAATGGTCATTCTATTACTCTTTTTATTGTCATGACACAAATAATTTTATATGGTATAGAAAATGTTTAGAAATCTTTTTTCTAGATGTAGAAGTTAATTCTAAACAATTTCTATTATATATAATGTTATTTATTCAATTTATCCCTCTTCTTCAACCAATTACAATTTTACACATCACAAATGATACCACAATTAACACTAACAATTGGAGACACAATTTTTTAATTTTCTTTTCTTCATGCCATACAAAACAAAGTAGACAATGTTATATTGGAGATGCACTAAGAGTATGACACATTCAATTGACACTGGCATTAAAAAGACTTTGCAGGGAAATTTATAATAAGTGGTTAATGTATAAATTTACTTTTTGTTACTTCACCTGTAAATAAAGTGAGGTGAAAGGTGTAACAAATTTGATTTCAGAAAACCTATGAACTGAAGTGTTCAGTTCTTACAATATGAACAAAAACTGAAAACAAATTAAAACTTTCGAGCGAAAATATTAAAGTCGAGGCGAGTAAACTTTTTCAGCAAGATAAATACGTCCCATATAGTGTTAACTGGTCTGTGCGTCTTGTCTCCAAAGATACAACGTATATTAGCTCGAAATTTGTAGAACACCATACTTCGAAGCTCTGGCGAACTCGAACAGGGTCAAAAACAGAGCAATGTATATGATATGATGCGTGACACTTTCCGTAGAAAGTGAGATGCACATGTATGTCTAGTGTCATAGAAAGTGAGATGCACATGTATGTCTCTTGTTTCTTTGTGTAACTCTAGATATGTCCTATTTATAGCACTTCCAACTTAGGTAGGGATGACATCAATCACTAGTCACTTAAGACAGGCAACAACCCACTTAAGGTTGTTCTAATGGGCCAAAAAACGGCCAGTCCATTTTTAGGTGTTTAAACACCACTACTCCGCCTGAAACAGTATGGTGGAATGTACTTAGAGAAGACTCACTCAGGTTAGGTCAAAAACCCGAGTACAAATCCAACTTGAACTGGATTTTAATTTGGGCAATACCTTTGTAAATAAAATTGCAGCCAAAAATGTATAGTGGTTGGGCCCAAGACCGACCCAGACCATCCAAGGCCTTCTAAGTCCAACCCACAGTCCAATTGCCAAGGACCAAGGACTAAGGACCAAGACCCGTGTCCCTGTGCCTGTTTAAGAGTGTAATGTGGGAAATGACTTTGGACCTTTTAAACTACAACTATCGTTTTATGTGCTCATTTATGACATTATTAATTTATTTCTCTTATCGAAAATCAATTTTGAGAAAATAAATATACCACGAGTATCTATTTGGAACTTAGAATTTTTATACACGATTTAATTCAACTCAAATTAAATATTTAAGCATAAAAAAAATCAGTCAAAAAATTAAATATTTAAGCATAAAAAAAGTCAGTCAAAACCGGATTAAACTTAAGCTTTTAACTGATTATGGATCACAAATTGAGATAAAATGTGAAAAATTAAATGAGAAAAAGAAGAAGCAGCTAGGTGCGTAAGTTTTATGGGAACATAATCAAGGTGCCATATTTGAAGCTCTGGGCCTCATCTCAATAATTTTCAATGATTACGCCCTTGATAGAAAAAGGATATTCATATTATTAATTTAGCTTGGTCTTTTGTATTGGGCCTTAATATGGCTTAAATGTTGGGCCTGTTTAATAGGTCAGGCCAGTTTCATGCACTAATCTTCCAACATCAATCATGCAGGGCAATGTAAATGTTCCATATCAATTTAAGTTATTTAACCCTGTTTGTCATATTTTTGTTATTTTTCCTTGTTTATTTGCTTGTTATTTTCTTCATTCTTAGG